TTTCTTCTTTTTCCTACTATCTTTTGAATTTTATAAAACCACCCTCGTGTTTTTTCTTCATCCCACCTTTTTGTCATTTTTCCATCAATTTTTCTCTTAGTACAGCAAGTGAGATTGGATTTGATTGGATGACGACGCTGCATGGGAGACTACCTGTCACGTGATTTCTGGACTGACCAATCAGCGACTAGAAGCGGACGGCTCGTAATTTTGAACAGACGGAGTTAATCCAGGCTGTAGCTATGGGGTGCTAGTTAGCTGCTAGCAAAACATCGACCATTCTTTATACCTAGAATAAGCTCAAAATAACTCCGTGTTTTGATTGTAGAATATGAATACCCATATTATTACTCCTGGACCTTATCGAGCTACAAAATTGGTGAGTTGTGCTGCTTATCGAACAGAATGAGAACTTTTTAGTAACGGAAATGACGCTTTAGGTGTGTTTTTCTCTCAAACAGTTAACGTTTTCATAGCTCTCTGATAAACCTATTCCTCATACAAATAGGAACTTAAACCGAGCTGGTGTCTTTAACATATCAACTAGTTAAGCATGGTTTCTGTTCTTCGAGAATGTACTAGCTGATTAACTTGATCATTCCTGTAGTTTATAGCTTCGTGATAATGTTGGATTAATGTTGCAGCACATGTGTGCGACTTACATTCTTAACCTAAGATGAGTGTTTTAATAAAGTTAAATTACCTCGGTTTAAATGCATTTAAAGCATGTTATAGATAAAGTATATTAACCAAGTAAAAGTTAAAAAAAAAAAAGATGAAAAGTTCAGACAAAATAGAAATGTGCTGATGTGTGCGCTGTATATGTTGACATCAAAGACTAAATAATTGCATTAGGATTGAAACAATCAGATTTATCGTGATTAATCTAATTTAGTAATCGATTAATCGTTAACTGGAGTATAAAGACTCTAAAACATGCTTTTAACTGACAGAGCACTTAGAGTAATAACTATACCAAGATTGTAAAAAAAAATGTATATAAAAGTTTGCATTTAAGATAAAAAAAAAAAAAAAAAAAAATTTTTATGTCAATATGCTCGATTAAGGACTCATCAAGTGGAAAAGATTGAATTTCACCTGGTTTAATATCATAAAGTCTTCCTTAAAGAATATGTGGCTTTCTGATTATTAATCCATGAATAAAAAATTATAATCTACAGGTTAATTTCATACACACTCTTTTATCACCTCTGCTTTTAACATCAAACAGCATCAATTGAAGCATCTGAACTAAATCATATATGATTTCTTTCTCTTTTTCCGAATAACCTGACGTCTCAATAACCTCATATGTAGTAATTACTGTAATTTATAAAACTCAATTTGTTTGAATTGTAGAGGAGTCTATAGTTTCTATAGAATAGAAAACTAGACCGCTTGGTAATTGCGAGTCAACAATAATTTACAAAAGCTGGAGTTTCAAAGTTGCAGAATGATTACAGGGCTCCTGCAGTGGGCAGTCTTCTCTACTTTTCTCTGGCATACAGTGTTTATTCAACATTTTTGCTTATGCTCTTGTATCAAGTAAAAATATGCTCTCACACCTTAAACATTCATCACTTTTACTTCAGTTTTTGCTGCACTAGGAATTATTGTTGCTGTGAACCTGTAAGTAGCTAGATCCATGAAAGGGTTACTCAAGGAATTCACACTAAGTATTGCATAATCAGTAATTTCACAAGACCTCAGCCGTGAGGAAAAACTCCTTGCGAGGATGAAATATTTGTAGCATACTGTCATGTTAGTCTTTAAGCCTTAACAGGTGCTAAACCTTCCTGCAGCTCATTAAAATATGTAGTAGTGGAACTTAGCTGCTCACTGTTTGAGTTGTACAAGTTTCTTTAAATTTAAGCAAAAAGTGCCTAGTTTTTCCTCAAACACAACTGTCTAAGCAGCTACATATCTATCTTTGCCCTCTTTCAGTGGAATGAGGTGACACGCTTGTTCCGGGCTGGCATGCCCCTCAGGAAGCACCGGCAGAACTTTAGGCATCATGCTTCCTGCTTCACTGCCTCTGCTGCAGTGGACTGGCTGCACCAGCTGCTCCAGAGTAACAGCAACTTCGGCCCTGATGTCACCAGGCAGCAAACTGTTCAGCTCTTAAAGAAATTTTTAAAGAACCATGTGATTGAAGACGTGAAGGGTCGCTGGGGGACTGAGGACCTGGAGGACAACCATGTGCTGTACAGGTGATCTATGAGGAGAAACTTCTGCTGTTCACTGTAAACATTTTTTTTTATCCTAAATTGGGATCAAATGTTTGTTGTTCGTGTGAATTGTGTTTAGATTCCCGTCTACTTCTCCTCTGAAACCCATTCCATGTCCAGCGCCGAGATCAGGTTCGAGGTCCATAAGGAAAAGACCGTCACTTAGAGACCGGGAAGGTTTCTTCAAGTTTAGGAACATCAAGAAGCAGGAGAAGGAGTCCATGGTTAGATGGACTAAACATGGTTTTATGTATATTGTGAAAGTGGTTTAAACTTTGTGTTAATACTAAATCACTCTCACAGTTACATTTTCCATGAAAGTATGCAGAGTAATAGATGGATTATATTCCAACTTGTTTTTAGGAAAATGTGGATCCTGCTCTTCAAACACCGCAAGATGAATTGAATAAGCCAGCAGATGAGCAGCAGCGACCGAGACGAGAGCTGACTGTGGAGGACGAACAGGAAATCTGGAGAGACATTACTCTGACTCAGTAAAACCAAACACACCGATTCATTTTAGGCACTCATGCTATAAATGGCATATCAGAAAATAAATTTCTACAACATTCAGATTGCTAAAAACTCAAGATAAATCAAGATTTAAGCAAATTTTGAATCTTCTTTAATCTAAGTTTGTTTTTCTTGTTGTTTCAGCCTCCAAAGAATTCTAAGTGCTGCTCCTCTTGATGAGGTTTTAGACCAGCGCTGCATAAATCCTCAGAACATCATCCATAATATGACCAAAGTCAACAAACATGGAGTTGTCACTCTAGACGACAAGACTAGTAAGTTTTGAACCATAATATTATTCAAAGCCCTGTCAGATTTAGGTTTGAAGTAATCTTTTGATTTGACCCACATGTTTTTTCGGACTGAATGTTTATGTTTAGGATAATGGCAAGGAGTTTTTTTTTTTTTTTCATCTTTAAAAGACCCTATTACAACTTACCATTAAATATTAATGTTAAAAATACCTGAAATATAAAAAAGCTGCACAGCAATGACAAGAAGGGTTTGACATCTATAATGTCAAGAAGGATTTTTGCATGAAAAGAGCATATAGGGAGTTTTATCATCTTTTATGTAACATATAAAAATAAAATATTATTAAAGACAATAAAAACCTTGATCTGGCAGAGATGTAGATGATTTTGGGCTAAATTGTTTACTGAAAATTCCTTATTCTCTTACATATTCTACACTAAGCAAATCAAAAAGTACCTACAGAATAAATCAGCTTTATTTGACTAAACTAAACTGAATTAACAATAAAAGATAAGTAAGGCTAATCAAGGACTGGTAATACGGACCTAAATTTTCAGGCTGTCAATTTGTTCCCTATGGTCTAATCTTTCTGTCTTTCCAGGTGACCTTCCACATTGGGTTTTGTCCGCCATGAAGAGCCTGGCTAACTGTAAGTAGCAGCAGATTAATTAAAGAACACTTCATCGTGACAATCTGAGCATTTATCCACTGAGCGAAGCTCAGGGTAGAACCACACCTGGTTCTTTATGCAGCTCCTGAACCAAATCCAGGCTTTTCCACATCCTCAGCTGCAGTCAGTGAAAAGATTCAAAATGAAACATACATCAAGTGCTAGAGCCACATGCAAATATACTCTTATTTTGAAAAAATGGCTTCTTATTTTGAAGGATTAGCTACATTTGCATGCTGGTGTGTGTCAAGTGTTTGTCAATGCTTATATAAATGTTGGAGAATATGGATTGTTATTGACAACACAATCGATCCTTAGAACATTAATAACTGAAAATAGAATGACATATTTTGGTTGTTCTCTTGTTTAAAACCTTGCAGCAGTAGATGTTTAGAATGGTGCTTGTTTGAAGACATAACATTGATTTAAATAACATCATTCAGTCTGATTCCAAAGTACTTTTGCACTTTAAAAGTTGAGATGAAAACAAATAAAATACGTTTATTTTTATGGATTTTTTTTTCTGCAAAGTAAAAACGAGCAAAAAAAAAAAAAATAAATCTGTAAAATGTCTATTAGTCTTTATTCTGATGTTTAAGGCCTGATGAAGATGTAACAAAACAAACAATTCATGTGATTGTAACAATTATTAATTAGTTGGTGATGATGCTGTTTTCATCCCTAGGGCCAAAATATGACAGCGACCAGCCCTCATACCCCGGTTTTGAAAGAGACGTCTTTAAAACGGTGTCTGACTACTTTTACAGCCTTCCTCAGCCGTTGCTCACATTCGAACTGTACGAGCTCTTCATCAACGTCCTGGGTAGGTCATGTTATTTTCTGTCAACGCCTCAGCTGCTAGGAAAGCTTTCAGTGAACATTTCTACCTTTAAGAGGAACTGAATGCTCATCTCCTTAACAGTGTCTTTGACCCCTAACAGAGATTTTGGTTGTTTACAGGGTCCCAACAGACTGTCTGCTATTGTTTTCTGTGTTGTCTGTAACTGGCTAATGTTTCTGTTTGTAAGAGTCTGTATTAACTGAACGCTTTCCCCTCCCTTCACTCTCTGCTTGCGCTGACCCTTTACCTGCGCTGCTCGGCTCTCTGCCTGCATCCCTGTCTGCATCTGCTTTCAGCGTTTTCTGGATATGTCACAGTACCTGGCACCCTCCAACTTGGAAAGCGCAAGAGCTCAGACCTTCCCTCCGTCCCTCCACCTGCCAAGACGTCCTTTCGCTCCACAGAATGTCTTCTTCTGTCGCTGCTCAGGCAGGGCTCCTGCGACGAGGCGGATTCCCCCATGAGGGACGTTCTCAGCGGGAAGCTTCAGTCACGCGTCGCGGTATTAAAGGAAGGGGAACCTGCTGCAGGTGACAGTCAGCTGGGAGACGGCTCCACAGGTCTGAATGCAGTCATTTCCACCAGAACTCGTATGAGGAGCTGTTCCCTGGAAACTATCCTGGATCGCTCTCCTCCCCTCAGCAGGCAGCAGCTGTTTATGTCCAGGGACAGCCTCCCGGCTAGCTCCTGTTGCAACGAAAGCCAGGAGGAAAGCCCTGTTTTTTCTACTCGGGAAAGCTGCTTAAACTCTACATTTGCGTTCAAATCAAACTTTAGTTATCATGAAAATGCTCCAGGAGTTATAACCAGAAGAAAACTGTCTATGGCTTCCAGAGCTAGACAATCCGATGCACAAAAGTCGTCTTCCCTGCGGCCACGCAGTGTGGGCAGCTGTCTGGACATTGTCAAGGAGACCAAAGAAGAACGTAACGGAGAGATCAAATGGTCCGGTCGTGCAACCAGCTGCCTCAATGTGAACGCTCCAACAAACCATCACCCTCCATTGTCGTCCTATCACTCCTCGTCCTCTTCCCACCATCTTTTCTCTCTTTCGTCTGATGAAACCAAAGTCCAAGCTTCCATTGTCAACCAAGCACCCAACGGGCCCAATCCCGCCTCTAGCACCTCTATGCTTTGGGCTGTCCCTCCACCTGCTGTCGTCCGACGCTGCTTCAGCTCTCTGGATGTGTCCAAGCCGCCTCGGTCTGTGTTGCAGCTCAAACTGCCTGTTTCTGTGGCAGCCAGTAACTTCCAGCTCCCCCCACCTAAGCCTGAGCACAGTAAGACCCTCTCCTGTCTTCATGTCTGTGTTGATGCCAAATCTAACACCTAACCTCTACTAATATCTCCCATAATCAGAAATACCACCCTGTTTAACTCAGCCTGTGTAGATTAGTAGAACTATATTTAAATGGATTTCAGAGCAGCCTTCAGTCTTATTATCTTTGTTTATATCTAGTTCACTGCAAACTGTCTTAAAGTGCTTTTATGCGTTTTTGCTTTTTCATGATGTGCTAAAGCTGGATGTTTTGAAGTCCTGCCTTATATAGTTTAGCTGCTGTACTTTTATAATTTGGTAAGTTTATAAACAAGTTTCCTTTTTTAGAAGCTCTCAGACCTCTATTTAAAAAGAAAAAACATTCTGTAAGATTAGATTAGATCCTTGTATTTTACCAAAATTACTCACTCTGCATCATCGTTCTAGTTGATTAACAGCACCTATCTATTCATTGATCTGATACACCCATAGCAGGTGTCATGGATAGATGTGATTTTTGTTTTTCTCCTGGTTTTAACCTAAAATTTGTCTCCAAGGCCAGGAAGCTGTTCCAACCATTTCTGTGCCCGCAGGTTTTCTCCAACCTCAGTGTGAGCGTGTGGCCATAGAGGCTCTGCAGCTTTGCACACTCCTCCTGCCCCCTGCGTCCCGCAGGAAGCTGCAGCTCCTCATGAGGATGATGTCCCGCATCAGCCAGAACGTGGACATGCCTCGCCTCCACCCAGCCATCGGCACTCGAACCCTGGTGAGGAGAAACGGCTGTCTGTAATTTCTTCCACTATGAACTACCATCTTGGCGCTTTGCAGGGAAATCCATAAAGCTTTTTTTTCCCTCACTGTTCAAACAACAAATTAAAAGGTGTTTGCTTTAGATTCAATGGATGAATAATAAAAAGCTGTGCATATTTACTTGTGTGTAGGTTAATTAAAACCTTGACATGCATGAGGGCTTTTATTCACTGTTTCCTTTAACTTTAGACTCTGGTAAACGTGAGCATTACTCAGATGTGTACAGTTTTCACCAAAGCAGCTTGAAGGACAATTATGTGCTGTTTAACCAGAAAAGGAGAAGAAAGAATCAAGACATTTCTCATCATTCAATCAGTACAGTTTAGAAGTTTTCCCTTTGAGAAACATTACCCACACTGTGAAAAAATAAGCCTTGATGTGGAGCATTCTGTTTTAGCTTTAGCTCCTTGATACCTTTTTTTTTTTTCTTTTTTTTTTACCAGTGAAGAAATATATAGTTGCAGCAACTACAATCTTTTTATTTGTGGCAACCAAACTAACCTTTTGTGTTCGTTTCTGCATCTCTGGGGCTGTGAGTTATTTTGATTAACCCTTTCTGCTCCCTTTTGTTAGATGGTTCACACATTTTCAGGTTGTATCCTGAGCAGTATTGAGGAGTGTGACCTGGATGAGCTGCTGGCAACCCGATTGGTGTCGTTTCTCATGGACCATCAGCAAAGCATCCTCTCAGTCCCAGAATACCTGCTCATTGCCATCCGGGACCATGTAGAGTACCTGCGGACTGTTCAGGTACGCATAGCTCACCATGAAATAAATTAGGTCTATAAAACAAACTTTACTACAGGGCACTATTCCAACAGTTCAGCAGCAAAAACATTTTTAAACACATTTTTAAGTATTGGAAATCACTCCTGGTTTTAAAAGTTTATCTAAAGGATGTGTGGTTAAAGAGTTTCACATTTGTATGAACTTATTTTTCAAAATGGATTTCCATGAAGATTGTAAAAATGACTGAATATATGATTTATTCTATCTAATTACTGAATTTGATCTATTTTTTTTTTTTTATGTTTCTATTTGTAATGTAACTGTTCTGACCCCAGGTCCCTGTTGACCAACGTCCAGACGCTGATGGCGGTGACCCAGTCTGCGTTCCAATGCCAGTATATGCGTTTTGCAAACAAATAAGTGGTGCTGAGTTTGAACAGCAAAAAGCAGAGTCCTCCCAGAAGGCCATGGAGGAGCTGCTAGAGATCCTGCTGACCGACCAAAACATAAATGAGAAGGACAGACGAAAGAAGCTAAAGCAGGTAACTGAGACTGAAACAATTAATCAATTAATCGTGAATAACCGATTACTGAAATAAGCAACTAATTTAGCAATTGATTAATTGTTAACTGGAGCTTGGAGACTTTAAAACATGACATTAGTTATAAAAGTAACAAACATAGAGCAGAAATTGTAACAAAATCATACAAACTTAACTTAAACTTTAACTTTAAATTATATATTGATAATAATATATTAATAATTATATAATATCTTCTTTAAAGAACTAGCATCTAGAATATTTCCATTTTCCTCTCAGCTTATTTATGTAAGCTCTTGGATTAGCTAGAAGACCAAAACACTGATGATCAAAGGTTCCCTTGAAGTATTTTCTCCATTGTCAATGTTGTAGTTTTTTTTTTTTTTTATGTCAATGATAGGTTGATAAACCTGACCTAAGATTTTCATACCTCCCTTTTCACATTAAACCGCAAGGCTCAGTTCTAAATTGCTCTAGTTACTCTGAGGAGCTTCAGTTTTATAAATACAGGTTTATAATATAATTTTATTTTGTATTTATTTCAATTCCTTACTAACTTCCAGGCAATATTTTTATGTTGTTTTTTTTTTTTTTTTATTTGAGGTTGAAAGGATAAAATGCCTAAGAATTAGAAGCTCAAATGAAAAGATTATGTAAAATATATATATATTTTTTTTATAATCAGTTATTTTACATTTTACTTTTGGACAATCCTCAATACTTTTAACTGAGAGGGGTACTCACGGTAAGACAAAATACCTAAAGGGGTACACAAGTCAAAAAATCTTCGGAAAAACTGGTTTAGAGAGCTGTAGCCGAGCAGTTTCTATAGAAATTTGGTGGAACGATAAGTCTGTTAGGAAAATGTTACAACAGAGACATTCTCAGTTTCAAGATGATTATCATCATTCTGTCTCTTCTGTTGTCTCTGTTTTAGTTTCAGAAGCAGTACCCGGACATCTACAGGCGTCGATTCCCTTCCCCTGCTGAACAGGGAAAAACAGAAAACAAGCCAAAGATCAAACCTCCTCTGCTCAATATCAAGAAAGCCAAAACATTCAGCATCAGGAACTGAAACATCTTGGATGCTGTCCTGTTGGTCGCATCATGTCGGCTGCACTGATCTTTTTTTGAACGGCGACACCTGTAGGAATAAAACTGTTACATTAGACGTGCAAATATTCCATTAATATCTGTTTTTTTTTTATGTTAGTACAAGCTGTAGTTGGAGGTTTTATCAAACATTAAACAAATACATCAATGTTGCCATCTTGGATAAAGGCAGCTGGATAGATTAAGAGTTCTCTGTTTTTTTTTTTTGTTTTTTGTTTTTTTTGTAGGTTCCTAGTTTTCTTTTAGATAAGTGGCTGTGCAAACTACATATAGAGCAATTTGGGACTAAACTATGCAGGATCACTGGTCAGCATGTGAATAATTTTATGATAAAGTAATTTGAATGAATCACATTGGGAGCTGCTCCACTTCTGTAACCATCTCTTGAGATGTTTAGAAAATACTTTGCTTTTATTTGAGATGTTAAAACTCCTTTTTATCCCACATTTATTCACGGGTTCCTTTTAAAGCCTTTCATGGAGATTTTCTTTTTGTTGTTTTTTTTGTTGTTTGTTTCCAGATTTAACTAATTTTAATTGTAATTCCTTGATTCCCTGATTCTATTGGTTTATATCTGCCTTGTATGCAGGTTAGAAAACGTTTTGCACTAAGTTTTAAAGGAAAACTGACAGCTGCCAATTTTTTTTTATTTTTTTTTTTTATAATTTTTAATTGACAATTTAAGACTTTAAGTTTAATCCATTATTTGTGAAGCTAAATTTATGCTAATATATAGACCAAACACAATTATCTCTGATTAATCTGTTTTCATACTACAGGCTCACAGGTACTTGCTGTATACATGTTCTTTCCATGTTCCTTTTTAAGTTATATTAACGAAGAAAGTAAATGCTTTCAGGCTATCTTTCTTTTTAAATGTGTGTTTGATATGAAGAGCTAAGTTTGTTTATACCTCAGCTGAAATGAAGATGCGTAACCACATAAAGTGTGTTATATTTTTTATTTTTTTTTGTCAAATGCTTGACATAGGAGTGTAAATGCACCTCTAACTGTTTACTATGCAACATGTTGGGAAATAAACCTGTTCTACTGTGTGACTACTGCCTGTTTTATAGGAGGATATGATGGTAAATCTGCTCATAAGACACTTCAATCTTCTCCAGCTGCAGTTTAGTTGCCTGCGTTTCAGTTATACATGCTCTTAACCAACAAATCAGATAAGTTAGGTCTGTGCACACATTAGGGGTGCAGATAAAACATTGAAATAGTGCAAAGTGATTTATTTTTTCAATTGTAGAAGGATTCATACCTCTGAAACTTGTTTAAAATTTCACACATTACTTCAGCTTTTGGGCATTTATGTGTTAATGTGGTGGAGGGGGAAGCAAAACCATGCATGGTTTTCAAATATAAGTTTTACAAGCTGCATCCGTTTGTAGATATTGAATGTTTTTCCAGGTCTTTGGAATTCAGTTTAATCTTTAGATTGACTCTTCCTGAATGTTGGTTTCTAAATCTTAGAATATATTATACCAACATTTCCTGACATCTCTGGCCATGTGTCTGTGCTGTACACAGCAGCTTTTCTTCCAGGATATTGATGAATTGGCTTAATTCAGCTTTACTTTCTCCACAGCATGATGCTGCCATTTTCTTGTTAGACATTTTATAGCTTAATTTTATTTCTACATGTTTTGGTTTTCCTGGTTATATTTATAACTTATTTTATATTTGTATTAATTACAATAAATGAAATCATTAATAAAACACTTAAGTCTATATTTTTTTTAATTTGTAAAATTTGGCTCTGATGACATCTTCTCACCCAGTCACTAATCAAAAGAGTAATTGGTGTTTTTGCGTATTAATCATAGATGTTGCTTTGTGCTTTAACTCAAATGTAATGTAATGTTAGCAGTTCTGATGTAGATTGTTCAGGTGAAGTTGGACTAATTGTGTTGGATACGTGCTTTCTTTAATGTTTGACAAAGTGTTTTAGCTGTCTTTCTTAATTAGAATCTAGACTTTTAATAGAGCAGCTTTGAAACTCCAAAAATGTGGCCTTTTTAACTGCAGAAACAATGTAAACATCGGCTCAGAGCCACCAGGAAGGCTACCACAGAGCAGCTGTGATTCAGCTTCATGATCCTTCCAACTGAGAGCGCTGGAGCAGAAGCCTAAGCTGGTCTCTAAAAGGTAAACAATAGCTTACCCACCTGTAGGTACTGCTTCCTGTCTGACATGATGAGCGGTGGACAAAGTACTCAACAGCAGAACATGAGTAAAAGTACTGATACAGTCAAAAGTTGCTCAACTACAAGTACTTAAAACAGCAGTCAGACATCTACTCAGGTTAAAGTGTTGAAGTATTCACTTTTGAAAATACTTGTGTTCAAATGTAAATGGATTTAAAAGTACTTAAGTATGCAAAAATACTAATTCATTTTTGTAGTATAAGTATATGTCTGTATAACATGTCTGGGTAATTTTTAAAAAGGTGGTAACTTAGAGTAACTACCTGATGTATTGATTCTACTGCACTTTTAAAGAAATTCAGCATAAAAATGCCACAAAACTGAATTTTTGTTATTTTTTTTCAACCCATCCCTTTGGGGAGCAGTGGGCTGCCATTGTGCGGCACCTGGAGAGCAGTGTGGGGATTAATGCTCTTGCTCAGGGACCCAGAGTGGCAGTCCGTTGGAGTGGGGCTTGAACTCAGAACCACTGAATCCCAAGTACAATGCTTTAACCACTAGGTCCCCACTTTCCAATGCAGGCATCAGTGTGAAGGTCATGCCGTTGCTGCAGCTACAACGCAGAGTACTAACCACTATATGATGACGGTGAGCTAACCACTTGTTTAAGCAGGCATTCTTGTGAAGGGTCTTGCCTTAGCACCCACACTGGCAGCTCATTCCTCCCAGCTGGGATGAGAACCCAGGCTTCCTGTTTGAAGGACGGGTGATGGACCGACACCTAAACATGCAGGCCAGACATTTCCCAGAGCTGCATTAGTTATGGTCATCAGCTAAACTAACATCCTGAAGCTGATGTTTGATGGCTGCCCATCTCCTATATTTCATTCTGATTAGGTCAGACCAAATCCTGACAACACTGCAATACATCACTTAAAGAAAGAATATTTTCTACCTTATTCAGGCAGCAGGCCCCACTAAATGACAGATTAGTGCTCCCTATCACCCACTATGATGCAGGGTTTCTCACTATTCAGCCTTCATTCCATATGACACACAGCCTTTCTTTCTTGTTCACCCTCCTTTAAAAAAATAAAGAAGGAAAATAAAGTTTGCCAAAGATTTGCTCAAAACCATCATTAGGTCTAATTGTTTCTGCATGTTTTTTTCCCCTTCAAACAATGTTAGGCTTTTAAAATGTTACTTTATTGGCCTGATCCACATTATTAAGAGGCGTGAATGTTCCTGGGTAGAAGGGATGTTGTGGAGGTGCCCAGAGAAAATTCAGCATGGAGTCAATGGTCTGGCGTCTGAAAGGAAGGGAGACAAAGCTGGTTTGTTCAGCTCTGGGTAAAACTGTGGGGGGCGTGGGGAAAGTTTGAGGAGGTGGGGGAGAAATTGGGAAGAGGGGAAAAAAAGTCTTCAAAGGAAAAGAGGAGGAATGGGAGGAGATGGAGGAGTGGAGCAGCAGGAAATGTTTGTGTGGTTTAAATCTAAGCCAGACTCTCCTGTGAAAGTAACGTGCATGGATCTGTGAGCGCAGGAAAAGGTTTCGAAGATTAAACAGCAGCATGGTCAGCCGGTAAGGAGTTACTTTTATTGTTTTTCACTAAAATTGGATTGCAGAAATGCTAGACCCAACTTTTATATTGAAAGGTTTTGGTTTACTGAAATGAAACCAGAGACAACAGTTGGCAGACATGAAACGTTTTTTAATGAGTGAGAAAATACTTTAAGAAGAACCAGACAAGAAGATCTGGAGCTGAGGCAGAATTTTACAACACTTTGGGAAAACTAAGGAAGCTTTTAGAAGCTCTGAACTGATGAAAAAAAAAAATAAAAGCTACGAGAAAATAAAGAAAATTGAGAGGATGCCTTTGATTTAGAAAAAAACTTGGACTGAGGAAGGGGGGAAGACTTTCATTCAGTTTTAACCAGAATAAAGGGATATTTAAAATGTTTAATAAAAAGATGGGGATTATAAACAATTAGAAGACATAGAAATATAGAGAAAAAGTGAAAAGTTGACACAAAAGAATGTGGATGGGTGGAGAACGACTGATAGAGAACGACTGATAGAGAACTTGATCTCTGAGGCTGCCAGGCCAGATGGAAACTATTAACAGTGTTGATCTGTTGATTAACCTGATGCTTCAAAACAGTTACTCAGTACCATTTTTAGAATAACATTTTATTCTCAGCTATTCCCAGAGCATGATCCAACATGCAGCTTATAGAGCAGTCCTCTAAATATGTTATTACTCTTCTAAAGAGTATTTTAATTCAAAACCTTCCACAGAGTAATTCCTTGATGCTCTCAATACTGTTTCCCCTTTTTTGTCAGAGTGGAACATCCCGCTGCAGGCTACAGGAAGATCTTTGAGACGGTGGAGGAGCTAAATGAACCCATACCTGCAAATATCACTGGTAATAAGCAGTTGCAGATATGGAAAAGCTTTTATGTTTAGGTTTGGAATGGGAGACTTTTACTTTGAAGGGTTACACTTACATGACCAACCAGCTTGAGCTCATAAATACATCTTTTATTTTATGACAACTTTAACTGTAAAACAAAAACATGCATTAACGTCCCAGGATGGAGAAAAAAATTACAAATAATCAGCTGAAGTGGACGTCATGTATCACTAGAAAGTTGTGTTTTTTTAACTCCCTGTTTAATTGCATTTCTAAAATACGCAATGAAGCAGGGAGAAGCAGCAATAGTGGAGATGCATAAAGGTGAAGTGTGTATTACAATGTTATAACTCACTAACATATAGGGTCAGAAAGACAAGGGGTGGTTGCCTAGTGGTTAGAGCATAGAGCTTAGAATCCTGAAGTTGTGAGTTTGAAACCCATTCTCACAAACTACCACTCTGGGTCCCTAAGCAAAGACCCTTATCCCCACACTGCTCCATGGGCACCAAAAATGGCAGCCCACTGCTCCCCAAGCAAATGGGTTAAATGCAGAGGTAAATTTCATTGCACTGTACTTGTGACAGTGTAATGACAATAAGACGCTGGAAAATAATAAATAAAAGAAAAAATAATAAATAAATAAATTGTTCTCTCAGGTGTGATCCCATCATGGCTCGGAGGAAGTCTTCTCAGGATGGGTCCGGGTCTTTTCGAGGTGGGAGACGAACCTTTCCACCATTTGTTTGATGGACAGGCTCTCATGCACAAGTTTGACCTGAAGGGCGGTCAGGTGACGTACTTCAGGAAGTAAGAATGCATCGTCCAAATAACTCATCCTATAGTTATAATAAACTTATCTTGCATTTTAGACGTTTCTTAGCAATAGCGATGAATTTGGAGTCAGTATAAAGAGAAAGGTCTCTTGAAATAATGTATCTTCAGTAGATTGTTAACAGGAATGCTTCCAGAAGACTACAAAAATGAGAAACAACAAACCACAAAAATGCCTCAGTGAATGTTTCAGCGAACAACAGGCTTTTATGATCCTGGGAAATTCTTGAGTTGTTTTTTTTGTTTTGTTTTTATGCAGAATTGATGTTTGCAGACAGACAACATGCCTTACTGGTTATTTCTGCTCATGAGGGTGCAATCTTTGCCTTTAGGTTCATAAGGACGGATGCTTATGTACGGGCCATGACTGAAAAGAGAGTTGTCATCACAGAGTTTGGCACTGTTGCCTATCCAGACCCATGCAAAAATGTCTTCTCCAGGTACAGTTGAAAACAGAAAAGCAGATGTCATTTGTACCGTCAGCTATGATTGACTGATTACTGTTGGGGGTTTACAACTATTTCCATTTTAACAAAAATCCAACGGCAATGGCATTGTTTGGATTAGAACAGAACATTCCAAAGTCATTAAAACAGCATATCCTCAAACGATTCAAGGATATTTTTCTGGCTGATTCAAACATTTTGTTTTTCTTCATTATGCGTTGGGAAAGAGGCAGCTCTAGACACAATAAAACCAAGCTAGTCTCACAGGAGCCCTTAAAATTTACAATTGAAGATATTTTGCGACATAATTATCTCTTGGTGCTGTTATTCTGGAACAGCTTTTAAATTTGCTTACATGTTTTTGAAGCAGCCAGGATGAGAATCAGCTCCGCTAATTCTGAAGCCATGGTTCTCGGACGGAAAGACGTTTATTTATTTGATGAATAGACCATATGGCAGTTGTGATTATTTTAAAGAATTTATCTATGTTATTTTGGTTAAAACATGCTATTTCAAATTCCCAACTGCTTTTGGGTCCTGAATAAAATTGTGCTCAGAGCCCTATTTATGCTTCAACCGGCTCTGCTTAATGTAATGGTTCACTTCTGAAAAGTCTTCATCAGAGAAGTAAAATAGTTGCTAGATTTACAATTCTTATCTTATTCTGTGTGCCTAATATTCTGAATAACATTGATGGGTAAAAGAACAGTTTTTCATCAGTCTCCTTTATGCTTGTGTTTGTACAGGTTCTTTACGTACTTCAGAGGCATTGAAGTGACCGATAACTGTTTAGTAAACCTCTACCCAATTGGTGAAGATTTTTATGCCGTCACAGAGACTAATTACATCACAAAGGTGGATCCTGATTCTCTGGAGACATTGAAAAAGGTTTGATTATGTGCTATATTACACTTATTTACTGCAATTAACCCAACAGCATATTTCAATACAAAACATTTTTGATTTGCTTTTTGTGGAATCAGAAGAGCAGCCATTTTTACTGGTCTAAATTTTCTGCACTGTAGTTGAAAAAAGATATAGGAAATGCAAGATTCTGGCCAGGTTTTCCTTACTACCTGTCTCCGTTTAGTTTTTTTTAATAGGGGGGCAATAAATATGTAACCTGACAACAGCCAGATGCATGTCTCACTCCGCCTAGCTCTGGGCGGAGCGAGACATGCATCTGGCTGTTGTCAGGTTAATAAATATGGCCTTTAGTCTCGTTAAAATAAAGCTATAGTAACCTTTTAACAAACCTACCTAAGAATTCTGTTCAAAGTGCACTGCTGCATTTTCCTTAAAGGGTAGGCAACATATATATTGTATATATGAAAATGATTTTTTTCTTTTTTCCCCAGGTGGACCTATGTAAATATCTGTCCATTAATGGTGTCACGGCTCACCCCCACATTGAAGCAGATGGTACAATCTACAACATTGGCAACTGCTTCGGAAAGAACATGAGTCTTGCTTACAACATCATCAAGATCCCACCTGCTCAGAAAGGTAAGCACACAATCAGCAACACTTTATTGTCCCATAGGGATTTCTGTTGTAGCACACCAGAAAATAAATGCAAGAAAAATAAATAACGAATAGACAGCAATGTTAAAATGAACACAACATACATGATGTGACAAATCAACATGTAACATGGTTGTCTGTTTCTGCTGGAGGTTTCTTCCTGTTAAAAGGGAGTTTTTCCTCTCCACTGTTGCTACAAGCATGCTTAGTGTGAGGGATTGCATTTGAGTCAATGAGTCAATGCAATCAACTGGTTTTCCTTAGATAGAAAACTGAATCAATTTGACTGCATGATTTGGTTGAATTCTAAAGTCCTTTGAGATGATATGTGTTGTGAATTGGTGCTATATAAACAAACTGAATTAATTTGAACCTTTTTGATTTGCACTTTATTATCTTGTAATTGTGAGTCAGTGGGAGCAACCTGTAAAGGGGGGTTTTAAAGTCAGCAAGGATAGCTTCGGTCTTCGTTGTGACTGTGTGGCGCTAAGGGGAGGGTTCCACA